TGAATACATTAAAAAAAAAAAAACCTGCCCAGTCAGTAATAAACTAAAAACAAAATCTATAAATGAATATAAGCATATGAAAAGAAGTTTAGGCAAACTAGCAATCAAATGCAAACTAAAATAACTATCAGTTAAGGAATTATGTCACTAAATGTGGATAAGGTGTGGTTAGACAAACAGTCTACAGGGCCTGTAGCAATGAACTCTTGCAGCTTATATGACTTATAGGATGGACGTTTGGTAGATTATCAAATGAATCCCGAGTATTTATTTGTGAACCCAATAATTTGATTTCAAGACATGAATCCAAAGGAAGTCATTTTAACTGCTTCGTAAAGTTGTACTAACAGAAACACGGAAGCAATCTAAAGTGTCCAAAAAGTGATTATCTAAATTAAATGGTAACTGTCTTTTATTCATAGATCCAAACATTAAAAATAGACAATGATGCCCTAATCAAAATGTAACATACAAGTCATAAACAGGTTGGTCATTTAACTTTACTTTCATAAACATATAGACAAAAGATTAGGAAAAAATCTATCTAGTATTGGTAGAACTATTTCTAGACGGTATGGAGGCTTTTGATTTTTCTGCTACCAACTAAATCCATTTAAATAGATTCATATGCCCGTAAAAATCAAACTCCTTGAGCTCCACTGCCTCTTCACATGTCATGAGTACAAACATATCACCCAGATATCCAAGGTCCTCTACACTATATTTCTACTGTTTTCATTCATGTGCACACCTCTCTTCAAGGCTTATTATAGCAAGTTTCCTATTGCTTCCTTTTTTTGGTAAAGATTTATTTATTTTTATTTATATGAGTACACTGCAGCTGTCTTCAGACACTCTAGAAGAGGGCATTGGATCCTGTTACAGATGGTTGTGAGACACCATGTGGTTGCCTGGGAATTGAACGCAGGACCTCTGGAAGAGCACTCAGAGCTCTTACCTGCTGAGCCATCTGTCCAGTTCCTATTGCTTCCTTAATGAGTTGCATACCTTTTCACCTCAGTGCCTTTCCTCAGACTCTTTGACCCACCTAGATCACCTTCTCCACCTGGCCAAGTTCTGCCTACGTTCCTAAGAAATACCACCTGGGTTACTCAGCTTCCTGTCATCACAACAAGTACCTGAGATAATGAGAGTAAAGGTTTATTTTGTCTCAGAGGGTTAGACGTTTGGTTTGTGATCAATTGGCCTAGATGCCGTTGGACCTGGGATGAAGAGGGATATAAGGCAGTAGGCATGTAGCAGGCCAAACTGTCAACATCACAGCCAGGGGAGCAACAGGAAAAGGAAGGAACCAGGGTAGTACCATAATCACATTTAAAGGCATCATTCCCAGTAATCTAAGACGCCCTTACTTGGTGAACAGCTCTTAAAGATTCTGCCATTTCCCAATAGCACCATGTTTTAGAGTTTGGGAGCTGCCAAGCTTTTCCATCAAGTTGCTTCTCAGTACTAACCTGATTACCAAGAGGTATCTCTCCTTAGCACTCCTCACTCAAAGAAGTTCTATGAGAGAAGGTTTCATGGATCTTAGGCTGGAGTGCAAATCACTAAGTAGTCAAGGGTAATTAACCTCTTTGAACTCCCAAACCTCCCACTTTCTAGGATTACAAGAGTACACTGGCACGCCAAGGGACTTCTTTGGTTCTTATTTCCTGTAATTGAGTTCACCTTATTTAGCAGATTGTCTTTGTTTGAATATTTTCAGTAGATTATACAAGTTAGAAAAGTGGCTCTATCTTTCAACTTTCTCTAATACTGACAAACTGCTTTACAGATTAAGCAGATAATGAGTACTTTCAGAACCGAATAAATTATTGTCACAAAAAGAAAGTAGAAAGAACAGAAAATGTTTCTCATTTGAGGCTCAGCATGGAATTTCTCACAGTAACAATGAAGGAGAAAAGTAATTATGAACCTGTATTTTCTTCTTTTTGTCTGCTCAAAAAAAAATCTTTCCATATTTGGTAATATATTCCACAGGCATGAAAAAAAAATGAGCTTGGGAGTCTCAAGAACCTGTTTTCAACTGAATGTCTAAAGAGATATCCTTGTGGAAATTAAAGACTTTTATTTAGGAAAAACATCATTATGGCTTGTTTGCTTTACACCTTTTATGAAACAAAATATTATTAATGAAAATAGAGACTTTGAAACAAGTGAATGTTCTAAATACAAAGTTACTTTTTCTTATTCTATGTATCTATCTATCTATCTATCTATTTATATATTTATATGTTTTAAATCAGGATTTCACATTTAGTTCATGCCTACCTGGAACTCACTATCACAGACCGTGCTACCTTGGAACTTAAGTGCCCTCCTCCTCCCCCAGCCTTTTAAATTCTAGGATTATATACAGGAATCTTACCAGCTTTACCAAAGTTAATTTCTATAAATCAAACCTATAAGGGAGAAAACATATAAATTAAACAGCCTTATCATATTTCAGAGTACAAATGTAACTTTTGGATGAGGAAGGCCTTTCCTGGTTTCTACTTTCCTTGCCAATACAAGTCTTTAACAGTTACAGCTGCTGTGGTGATAACTCACATAACAGTTCACCTATACCTCAGTGTGGATATTTAAGGGTAAAATCATCTCAATCCTTAATGCCATACACAGTGCCTGATTCTGAAAAAAAAAATGCTTGTCTTTACAAGAGGAATTGTCTTTCCATGATGAAGGCTGGGTTTTTTTTCCCCAGACTTTTGGTAGGTAAGGGGAGCTGGTTAGAGATAGTTCTTAATTTAAAATGTCAATTCTTCCAATGGTCTTCTAATGCATATCTTTACATAGTGCTATATTCATTTAAAGAGTAGGTACTGAGCACTGTGCAAGGTATTGAGGAGTGATATAAACACAAAGCTTCCTCCTCCAACTTCTATAGGCTGCTACTAACCAAACCCATCCATTATCTACGGGAGGAAAAGAACAATAAACAAATCAGACAATTACAGGGTAGGAGGGAAAGTAAGCAGGGCAGGAAGCTACTTAATAACCAGCGAAGGATACATTTAAATCGTGAAAAGACAAAAGAAAAAAAAAAGACTTAGCCTTACATACTAACTGGAGAAAAACATTCTAGGCAAAGAGAAATGGAAATGTCCCAAGATACAAACAGACTCATTCTGTTTGAAGCACACAAATGAGGCAGTGTGTTTATATTTTTCAAAGTGTGGGTGATGTTTTGGATTCTGATGTGAACTTTGTAGGTCACTGCATTTTTTTTTAAAAAAAAAGGAAGTCAGAAAATATATCAGCTACATGATTTTAGACTAAATATTCAAGTTTTGCTTTGTGTGTGTGTGTGTGTGTGTGTGTGTACTGGGTTGCTCTTTGTATGTTTCCTAATGCAGGGAGTGCTCAAATCTACACTGAGCAATGAGAAAAATAACAGATAAGGAAGTAACAGGTAGCTAGGAGCTACGAGACATATGGCTTCCCATTTGTAGGCCACGGAGAAGAACTGGGACTTTATTCTAAATACATCCAGTGGGAAGACACTGAAGGGTTTCGAGCTGAAGAGTGACATGATCTAATTTGACATCACAATGTTGCTGAAAGATGACTACAGTTGAAATGCAAAAGGCTTGAGTAGCAAGCCAAGCTAAGAGTCTAATACCAGAGATTCTGAGGACATTGCTTAACCTGACTACATATCACTTCCCTCATTTAAAGATGAGACAGTTGAATAAAGATGACCTTTAGGACCTTGGAGATTGCATAATTTATCTATTATTTTCTGCTTGCTCCCTTGAGTATAAGTAAATGACTATGATAGAATCACCAATTCATTAGTTCCGAGTTATATCTTATTATAAACCACATAGTGATGAAGTATACGCCTAGAAAGTTATTTTCGAAGTGTCTCTTTACTGTAACTAGCTACGATAATAGACATGAATAAGATCTCTGTGCTAAAAGGGAATGGAGTGCTTTTGCAACTCTCTGGTACAAAGTTTGGTGCATGAAGAAAATTGGCCAGGAGGCATGAAAAGATTTACTGGCCAGAATACTTGGAACAGATTTACTTATTTGTTCTAGATCATGAACTGATTATTATATAGAACAGTATAAAGGTGTATGACTCTTCTGCTAAACACTACAATCAAAATATAACAGTTTAATTCTTTCCACAGTAACCAAATGACTGAGGCACAATCTAAATTGACCACCTACTGGCTTTTAGTTCTACACTTGAAGATCTGATCTCATACATGTTTCTTCACTTAATCTTCTAACCTTATTTGCATTTCACGGATATGGAAACAGGAACTCAAAACATGGAAGTAAGCTACTTTGTGGAAGGGGGCTACATTAGCATCAATCAAGGCAGACAGCAAGCAACTTGAGTCTTTTAAATTCTGTGTTTATAACTTATTCTGTTTAAAAACGCTGTACAAGCACTAAGTCATCAGATGAAGTAGTTGACAACTCAAGTATCTATTACATTGAACAGTATGTTCAACCAATAAACCAGTTCTGCACTTACAGAAACTTTCAAGTACAGAGTGTGAAGACATAGCTTGTGAGTAGCACTTTTGGTTTTAAGAAGCGGAATTAAGCACAATAAAAGGAACTGGATTACCAAATTATGTACAAAGTATATGGCAACAGTACAACGGCAGTTTCCAGGTTCGTTTTCTGGTGAAAGACCAGCAAAAGAGCCATGAACTGCACAGTGTCACCCATGTCATTGGGCAAATAGCCTGCCAGGCCCATGAACATAAGGAGACACTAGACATTCTGATTTCTAACTTACACTAACCGTTTAAAGGAAGAAAGAAGCAAGCACACCATCTGCCCAAGTGAAGCAGCGCACATAGTATGGCAAAACCCTTGAAACATGTACAGCATCTTTCCAGTGAAGGTTAAAAAGGTCTCTTAACATCTCCCGGCAAAACCACCCACAAACACCCCAGCAAAAGTTGGAAATGCTCACTGCACACCCCACTTTAAGTCACCGAAAGCATGCTCACCTGTCACATACTCAGCTTCGAATCTCCGCCGGGTCTCAGAGATTAGCTTGGCTTTATTCTGGGCGTTATTCTGGATAGGAAACACAACAAAACCTTAGATGTTTCTGGTCTTTACCCAGAACACTCCCAACACAGCTCACCTGCACCAGAGCGCACGGACACTGGGCCTGGAAGCTGTCTTTCAGGCTCATGGCCCCAGCAGCGACGCGGTGCTGCTCACCTCGGCCATGGTCACAGTCGCGGAATCGATTGTAATTGTAGCCGTCGCTCTTTCCACAGGCAGCCAAGTGTCTCATCACCAGCCAGCCCAGCCCAAAGGTAGACCAAGAAGGGAGGGAGGGGGAGGGGGTCGCGTGACACCGGAACGTAGAAGGAAGTGCCTTCACACTGTCCAATCCCATAGTGTTGTCCGGGGGCAGAGGCGGGAATAAGTGCTCTGCTGGGCTCCCACTTGCTTCTCTAAGGAAAAACCCCGCCTTCAGACGTCCTCCTGGCACTGCTGTCCCGCCCCAAGTAGCCTGGAGCACTCTGATGCTTTCCCCGAAGCTCAACCCCTATAGCTCAGCTGGCCATTTGCTTCAACCACTCGGAGGCCCCGCCCCTCTCAGGTCGCCTCTGGCAACCACCTCCAGCAGGCTTTGCCGCCTGAGTTTTTCATGCAACTATTGGGCTGGTTGTCCCAGGGTGCAATGCGCGGGCGGGAGGTTTGGAGTCATTTGGTGCATCTGGAACGTGGCGATTTGGCTGCCTTGGAGAACTGGTTTGGTTTGGTTTTAACTCCTGACCGGTCGCAGATAATTTGCATTGTGAGTATTCTCTATATTCGGAGATTCTTTCTTTTAAGGCTTTTTGCTGTAGTGTCTTGCTTTATAGTGCTGGCAGATCTGCAACTTGGTCTGTAGCCTAAGTTGGCCTCCACTCTCAGACATGAGTTTCCTGTGTCTGTTTCTGATTAAGATTACAGGTATAACCACCACAGTTGTGGACTGTGAGACGCTCACAAGGCAAGTGTCTTTGAACTCTTGAGTTCAAGCGGTTGTAGAAAGTTTAAAGGAAAGATGTTTTATTTAGGTACTTGTTCTTAACGAGGTGGGGGTAGGACTCATGTTTCTGCCATGTAAGTGACATTGTGATTGTCACAGCTCGAGAACAGGAGTGTGTCTGACTTCTAATGGGTAAAAGTCCAGGATGCTGCCAAACTTGCAGGACAAGTCAGAATACATATCCAGGGTAAAATGCAGACATTGCCAAGGCTGGTAAAAACTTAGATTTATAAAGTACTGGAACAAACTTTATTAGCTCTGATGGTTACTAAAGACTACCTGTCTTTTCCCGGGGACTGGGGATGTAGCTCACTGGTACAGTGAGTGCTGGAAATCCGAAGTTCAATCCTCAGTAGCTCTTCCTCTCCACCAAAAACACAACGCAAGTCTTACCTCATATGTCTCTCATCTGTGACTGGTTCACCTTCAAAGGACATTTAGCATCTTTCCTCACAGCGTTTTCAATATTTATGTTTTTAATGGGAAAATTGAACACATTGTTTAAAACTTGCTTGAAAACTTTCATAAAAATATTTGAGAAACTAAAAGCTCCCCTAGACTGCCATTTTCCTACTTTGATACCCATATTCTTTACTAAAATTCAGCCATCATGATAAGGATTACATTTCTTTTAACTGTAGTGTGATATGCAATCTGTTTGTTTTCTTACTGGTAATCATTCACATTTTCAATTTTCATATTGCAAATAGGAGTACAGTCTGTATTTCCAGGTAGTAGTATTGTTTCATATGTGGGTCCATTTCTCTGGGGTCAGGTTGGAAATGTACTTGCCAAAGATACACATTCAGTTCGTTGCCACGTTAAATTCTGTAGTCATCTCTCTCTTTCATAAATTACTTATTAATTGCGTGTACGTGTGTGTTTGTCCATGGCACACATATGAATGTCACAGGATACTTTTCTGGAGTTGTTCATATTCATATCTTCTACCTTGCTGAGGCAGAGTCTTTCTAGTTTCTGCTGCTGCTTTGCATATTCCAGCTTTATTCTTGTGGGCTTTCAGGTCTCATGAAAGGAATGGAGTGGTTGTGGGCACATCACTACATCAGGGGTTTTTTATTTGTTTGTTTTATTTTTTACTTAGTGAACTCTGCTCCTCCTATTTGTTCAGGCTTGCACAGCTAGCACCTTTACCCATTTCTCTGACAGAAGGTATTTTAAATAGACCATCTAAATAACGCTTCGCAGGGTGATCACACATTCAAGTATCCTCTCTTAGTTATTCAGACTTAGAACTTTTTTTTTGAGTAAGTACAACTGGTCACCAGGTGCATGATACATCCCTGTGATTCCAGCACTTCAGAAGCAGAGTTAGGAGACTTATGAGAAGGTCAGCCAAGGTCTATTATGTAGCATATGATAAGGAAGTTTCTAACAAAATTTGTTTTTTTACTGTGCTTGTTCTATTTAGTCTCTTTTTCTCTTTTTTTTTTATCCTTAGGATTAAAGGCCTCAACAGGAATCCATTTGCATTTGGAACTGGATCAACACAGAGACTTAATGAATTAGAGTGGCTGGCAAACAAGCGATGCCATTTAATGAGCAAGCAAAGTTCTTGTGCTATAATGGGGAAATCCTTGTTTTTCAGTTGTCCGGAGGCGAGTTTGCAGATTTAGAAATGCCCACAGATCCATCTGTCTTATGTGTCAAAAGGATGCTATTTGACAGAGAAACTAGCACATTCCTTCTGATATCCACTGTGTTTTTAAACCTCAGTGAGAAAGATTCTCATTTAAAAATTCTGTGTTGTTACTGTGTGTCAGATTTCAGAACTAGAGTTCACCTTCCTTGCATTTTGATACAATGTAGAAAATACAATAGTAAAGCTTTCAAATATTGTATACTGTTTCTTCACAGTCTCAACAAACTGGAAAAACTTTTGAGTTTTGAACTAAACCATGCATTGGATGAGAACACAAAGATCTTTGATGGCCCTATAGTTTTTTGGAAGGAACTCAACCAATTCTTCTATATCTCTTCTGAAATTGGGAAAGTTACTAATATATCTGTTAAGCTTTCCTCTATTGAGTGGATAGGTGAGATTGAAAATTTTGGCATAGGTTTCTTGGGGCTAGCAGAACCATCTGAAGATAAATGTACCCATAAGCTTTCAGAATCAGATTATGAGTTTTCCAATTCTAACCTTTGTGCATATGCTCTTAAAAGTCAAGAAATGTTAAGCAATAGTTACCTGATCCCTCTTGCTTACAGTAGTGTAGTAAGTCACGTGCATGTCTGTGCAGCTGAGCTGGTGGACAGCCAGTTAAGAATGTCTCTGATTGCTCTGACACGAAAGAATCAGCTCATTTTGTTCCAGAATGGCATTCCTGTGAGAGCATGTCAGCTTCCATTTCTAGATCCCCATTCAGTTCAAATTCTAGATGCAGGGAAAAGAAACCGATTTTTCATCGTGTCATTCCCATCCAAGGCTTGTGCAGTTTCAGAAAAGAAATTTAAGGTATGGGGGCTTAGTCTCAATCTTCTAATAGTTCAGTTGGCAATCTTGGGCTTTACTTTTCTTATGTTTTGCTGTGTGTTTTTTTTGTTTGTTTTGTCTTTTGTTTTTGAAACAGAACTGAGTCTTAATATATATGCATAGTTCATGCTGGCTTTACATTTTCATTTTCCATTCTGCTTTCGTGGCCTCCTAAGTCTCAGATTTACAGCCTGTGTTACCATCATGCTCAGCCATTTTTAGACTTTCTAAAGCATTTCCATTTTCTTAGTCAGTTTTGAATCATTAGTCTTTGTAGATGGTTCTTTTTTTTTTAATGTCTTTCAATTTTTTTTCAGCGTATAGGAGTACATTGTAGCTGTCTTCAGACATACTCGAAGAGGTTATCTGATCCCATTATAGATGGTTGTGAGCTACTGTGTGGTTGCTGGGAATTGAACTCTGGAAGAGCCGTCAGTGCTCTTAATCTCTGAGCCATCTCTCCAGCCCATTTTTGGTTTTTGTTTGTTTGTTTGTTTTATTTGTTTCTTTCTTAAAGTTGTCTGTATTCCTACCTGATAGTGGTTTTGGGCCTTGGTATTTGAAGTCATAAAGGCTTTGAATTTGGAAGCATAAGTGTATAACTTTAATTATTTTTATCTGTCTTTTTTATTATAACTATTTATAATTTTTATTAATGTAACCATATTGGAATTGCCTCAGTTAGAGAAAGTACAGTAATTATATTTGAACAATTATACTTAGCAGTTAAGGCAAACCAATACATATGGTGGGATTTAAAATGGAATGAACATTTGCTAATATTGAATTCTGAGCCTTTACTATTTATGGCCTTCTGTGAGAGGTTTTAGATAATAGAATGAATATTTTATTAAATAATAAAATTATATCTTTATAACAGTTTTGTTCCCATATAGAATCTTTTTTTGTGTTAGCCATGACTCTGTTCATTCTACTTTATTCCAGAAAGGAATTGAGATAGCTTACAAAAATGCAAATGAGCATAAATTCAAGTAAATTATGAAAATCTAAGCCATCAAATATTTTATTTGCTCCCAGACAAGCCCTTCATAAAAGCCCCAGAGATATTTAATTCAGTGATAGGACTACATTTTCTCTTAGGCTTTCTCTCAAGTGGAAACTGTCTCTGCAAGTTTTGACAAGAATCTGTTTAGTGAACATTTCAAATTTGAGCCCATTGTCAGGTATGCACAGATATTTGTATTTTCAATAGAAGATTCATATGCTTTGTAGTAGTACTGTCTAATTTAGGCACTAGCCCTATGGAGTTATTGAGTATTTGAAATGTGAGTGCTGTGAATTAAAATGTATTAAAAATATGAAATCAAACCTGAGATTTTAGACTTAGTAAAGGGCCGCATATGATGTCATATCTCAACAGTGGTGAAACCAAGGCTGAACTAATACAACCCTGTCTTTGAAAAAAAGATTTAGTAAAATTTTGTGATTTTTAATTGCTTATATTGAGTTGATATGGTGACGTTCTGGATATACTGAGTTAAATAATCAGCCCTCCATATTCTAAGTATTCTACATATATTGATTCTGCCAACTGTAGATTTTAAATATTTGACACAAACTGGGGTTTTATTGAATATGTATAAACTCTTTCCTTGTCCCTGTTCCATAGCTAGTATAGTATAACCACTGAAATGTTAAACTTTTATTATATTTGACATTTTAAATAATCCTGGTATGTTTTATAGTACATGACAGAATGTGAGTATTATTATTATTATTGAGTTTTTTGAGGCAGAGTTTCTCTGTATAGTCCTGGCTGTCTTGGAACACACTTAGCAGACAGAGCTGGCCTTGAACTCTGATAGCCATGTACCA